CTCGTACTAGTTGAATCACTAGGTGCTACATATTATTTTCATAAAAGAGTTCAACATGTAAAATGCTTTGAAGTTTGTTGGTCTTTATTTTAGAAAGAATGTGGGGGTTAAGGGGTTAAACAGTGGCAATGAGGATTACTGGTTGTAAGCGCATTGTGGCTGGACTGAGTTAAGACATGGCATGAGTGAAATCTAGTTTTTGTGATAGACTTCTCACTTGGCACATCTTGATGAATGTTGCCAAAGCGTTACAGGTAGAACAAAGGAATTTATTTGTCGCTAATCCTGTGGCACCAATCAGCTTGTTTTATGAGTGGGCTTCAGAGAGAATGAACATGTTTTTTAACTGAACATAGTAAATTGTCTGTCTGAGGGAAATGTGTTTCCTTTCCTTAAAAGTGCAATATTTGAGATTTTGAACATAAATATAGCATTACACATAAGAGCAAGCAACTATCTGTTATGTCAGAATATCATGGGGAAACAGCATTCTTTGCTGAAACTGAAGTCACACTCGCTGCACGGAGAGAACATGCAAACTCCAAGCAGAAGGATCCCGGGTGTCCTCACGACGGTGCTAACCACAGAGCCATCTTGCAGCCCAGCACTCAGCCAATGTCCCAAAAACTAATACATTTCAAAAGAAAGTATTTCATGCATGTTGCTTACCTAATTTGTATGTACTCGTTTCATTTCAGCTCAACGTGATATTCTTTACAGATTTTTTTTCTGCTCTACTCCGTTCTCCATCTGTTCAGCTCCACTCCATGCAATTGTAGTGGGAGCATTTGTGTCCAGGCAAATTTGATGTTTCCAGATAGGTCTTGAACACACCATCAAATAATTAGGTCAGCTCCTCCCATGGCCCTGCCCCTGCTTAGGAGTATTTAAAGCACCTGTGGCATTATGACTGCCCTCAAGTCTCTGCTTGAGTACCACATGGGCGCCTTTGTAGTCAGGATTGTTTGAAGGGTTTTGACTAGTGATTTTGAGATGATGCCTCATGAGGCATTGAACCACTTGAACAAACTGGTTTCAAGAAAGGGTTCCTTTCTTGAAGCTTCATGTGCACACAAAACCACCTACTGGCCAGATGTATAATCACAGCCAGCTGAATCTTAACACGTGTGATGCTACCTGTCTCTATTTGCACAATATACAAACGTCAGCATGGAAAAATTGTGATGGTGCGTTTATAAAATTGTAATGACTTACCTTGGCTGTGTGAAGCTCCAGTTTCCTCCCTGTTCTCATGCAAAGCACGGTAATGCCTTAGCATGGATGAGATGTTGTTATTGTACTCTAACTCCTTGGAGCACAGTAAACACTTCATCTTTAAATAAAATAAGAAACTGTGAAAAATACAGTTCTTCATAAGCAAACCTAATGCATCTGAAATAATGCTAGATTCAGCATACCTTACTAGGACTTATCAAATCAAAATGCTCCCACATAGGGGAAATCTTCCTCTTCCTAGCTGGCTCCATCGTCCTCTTAGCCTCTCCTCACTCTCCTAAATCTACTATTGTTCTCTGTCCTAAACTCTCCAAACTCCAAACTATCTATCTCCACAAACTATAGAAACGCTATCCAAACTCTAGTATCCAAACTATCAAAACTCTATCCACACTCTGAACTGACCGCAACTCGCCTACAAAAACCCACATTTTGAATGGAGCTTGAGGGGTTTATAATGCTGCCAAGCACCACACCAAAATCTGTACCGAAGCAGTTACGTGGTACAGCCGGGCAGCGAGGCTTCGAACATTCGAACAAAAACAGTGTTTTCAGCTCCTCCCCTAAATGAAGCAAGCCTCGATATGTGCTTCCCAGAAAGGCCCCGTCCATTACTCGACACACACTTCGAAGCCTCACCACATCTTGTAACATCACTAGTGTTGACTGTTTCAAAGAGTTTATTCATTCATATGCACATGATGATGATGTACATTTGTTTGACAGTCTTGTTTGCCTCATGTTGATGTCTGTATGGTTGAGGTTTGTGATGAAGTTTGCCTGACTTGGCATACTGCGGATGTTGCCAATTCCCCTCAAGTCTGCATGACAAAGACAGTTATACCAAGAGTTTTATCAGCTGCTCTTTTGCCTTTGTTTGTCTTAGCGTTGTCTTAGTTTGGCAGTGTTAGCTTTATTTTGTACTTTACATTGAGCTAACTGGTTTTGTGCCAATTATCCCTTTTAGTGGACAAGGTTGCCAGCTGGTGGAGATTAGGCATTGTAGTGTGGTTTTCCTTCACAGGTCTTAGTAGTATGAGCAGTGGGCCCCTTATCTTACACTGAATTGGTAGTTGTTACAAATTGCTGTGAGCTCACTAGTGGCTGGTGGTTTGTGGCACTCTTGGACACTTAAATAATTGGCCACCTAAATTTAACACAGAAGTTCCTGGGGTGAGAGTCCCCAGGTGACGTTGAGTGTTTTTTTTTAGATTCTGGTACAGCTCCACCCAGCTTTGTGTAACCCCGTAAATGTAACATTTGACACACATTATGGTTATACATTGTAATGTTGATGTAGACAAAAGGTTGGATCATTTTTTGTTGGTGCTCATGTACACCACCTTTCTGGTTGTAAAAGAAATGTGAAGGATTTGGCCAATGGGCCTGTTTGCTTTGGTCTAAGGATGGTGCTCCACTGGCATCCACTGAATGTTGCATATGTCATTGATCTATGTATGCTCAAAATCCAACCTTGTTACTTCACCTACAGTTTTAACTGGTCATCAGTGTTGGAGCATTCATGTTTTTTGCTACAGCTAAAGTTTTGTGGAGAAACAAACGGCTGGTCCATGCATGTGTGCTGCACTCCATTCAGTCTTTTTGGCCGTTAGAGCATAGAACCATTTTTCAAAGAACACTAAGGCACTTTGATTTGGAGATGAAACTGCCATTTATTAAGGCCAACACTCTCATTAGCTGCAGTAAAGGTCCGTTTCATCTGCTGAAGTCTGAGGGCCTCAGTGCCCTTTTGAAAAATGTTCAGCACAGCAGAGTAATATGCGCTGTTGATATTAAAGGTGCCACTTGTTGAATTTTAACATCAAGAAATTATTACATCAATTTCCATACATGATTATAATGAACCATCTTTCCAAAACTGACAGCATCTATTGAGATGCTTTAAAGGATTAGATGAAGGTGACAAACATCAATAAGAAGCAATCAGATTCACTGGAAATTAGAATTGTTTTGGCACCAGTGGCACTAGTCTACAAATACCAATCCTCTCACCATAGTCCTATATTGTCACAAACTATACACTTTTTTAAAAGTGATGTTTTAATTAGCATTTGCACAAATTACAGGTTTTGAATTGTAGACAACAAATGACAGCAATAACAATTCAATTCAGATTTTGTTATTATTCAGATTTGATCTCCTATTGAGTTCTTTATCCAAACAGTGGCACCCATTCTGAATGAGAATGCACTTTTAAAAATGACATACAAAAAGATGTAGCTGTACTTTTAGGGTGGACACTGTTGAAACAAATAGTTCATTTGCTGGGGATTACTCTCAGCTGTGGATGAGTCTACATTTGGCACTCTAGTGAGTATTTTCAGCAGCACAATGGTACATGAGGACAGCGTGATATTAAACCCCCATAACATATACAGTTAAAATTCTGCCACTTTGTTGTAAGTAGCATCAACCAATTCTGAAGCAAATTTGACAAATTATCCTCCAAGCCTCATTATTCAAATAGTTTTTTACTTTTAAAAAGTGTCACAATAACCTATAGGGGCACCTATCTGTTAAATGTGCTGCATACTTTTTTCAGTCTAAGAGTTGAATGAACTAAATGCTTCCAAGATTCTTGTCTTTTTAATTGAAAAAAGGAAAAAACTAGGGCCTAAGTATATGCGTTCATGGTAAAGAAGGAAGGGTGGATATAGTGGGAACACTTGGTAGGATCAATTCATTGCAGGTTTTGTTGTTATAGGGGACGTATTTCTTAACGGTTAATCATTTGGTCCTGTTAACAAAGGAAAAAAAATCTTGAAATACAAATTAGTTTTGTTAGGTAAGAAGAGGTGTTATATACTTTGAGGAGCCATATTTGAAATGAAAAGCTCAACTCTTAAATCTAATGTTTACTTATTTAAACCTCTTTTGTTTACCTGGGAGTGTGTTGTTCTCTTTAAACACTGTCACATACAAGATGTCACAAAAGCTATAAGATTTTTATAGCTCATTAGTCCAAATTTCACAAAGGAATTTTTGGTTTTGTTTGGAAACGTTACATAAAAACTCATAGCATGTTCTACATAAAAGTCCATGCAGTGTTCTTATGGAGGATGGATATTTTAAGGCATCTTATTTGATGTGTGCAGATTCCAGTGGGCCATCATGATGAAAGAAGGCATAATATTGTACTACAGGACAGACCTGATGTTCTCTGCAATTAGAGGGAAAAAACACGCTTATATTGGTATAGGCAAGTGGCCAAAATGGGATTGAAAATATTGGCATATCGGATATTGGCAAACATCCAACAGTGTGCATCCCTCGTCTTTATTGATTGACCGTGCAATTATATTTTCAACAGACACATGAGACTTGCTGTGATAAGGACAAAGTAAGTGAAAAAGATGCATTTCCAGAAGTGACTGCATGAATAGAAAAGACAGATTGTCACAGTGGTTTTGTATCATGAATCCTTTAATCATATCCTGAAACAAAATAGACTTATTGTGCAGTGAAGAAATAGAGTAAATAAATACAGTTTCTCAGAGATACACAATTTGCTTGATGCTCAGGATTTTATTTTCAGGAGCAGAATATAAACAGGCCTCAAGGCTGGACATACAATCAAAGGGTCTGACTGGATTAAAACAACAAGAGGAAAAGAAAAAAAACAGTAACGCTGTTGCTACAAGAAAACTCAAAAAAAAAAAAAAAAAAAACCCACACAATCACATCATCACAGAAAGTATATAGTTTTGTCCCGTACAACATCACCCTGGTCTCTAGGATGGCTGTCAGTAAATCGTATTTCGTTTTAAGATGTACGGCCTCCGGGACTTGGTCGTGTGCCCGACTTGCCTCTTCAGTATGTAGGGTGATTTTCGTTTCAGCGGAGTGTCACTGTTCTCCTCTGAATATTCTAGAGAGTCCTGGAGTAGCTGTGAGGGGCAGAAAGAGAAACAGCGGTGAATGAGCATCACGCGACGAGGGGGGAAATGGCAGGCTAACACATGTTTTGTTGCTGAGTGGCAAAGTAATGGGTAGCTGCGCCCATGTAGCTGTGATTAAACGAGTGCTCCCGCTCTGTTCCTCCATGCATGGCAAAACAGGTGCTAATCTGCAGGCGCCGTGTTAAGATGTTAAAGGAAAAAAGCTGTTGTGCAGAGAGCTGAGAGCAGAAAGGAAAGTGATGGATGGGGGGAGAAGAAAGAGGGAGACTGAGGGGAGATTTAATGAGGTGTGTTTACTCTGGAAGACGATACATGGATTCCTGTGTGATTGTCAGATGTGTGTTTGTGAGATGTGAGTGTGTGTGTGAATGTATGTATGTGTCAGCCAAGACACGCTATTACTGGATTTGCTGGATTATGTTTGTTTTGGTTGTCCTTTTTCTCTCTCGCCACATTTAATTTCAGAAATGTAACTATTAACTAAAAGATAAACAGCTTTTTAAAATGTGCAAATTTGCATAATTATCTGCAGCTTTTTAATTTCAGTGCAAATGTTAGTCTGTGTAATTAAGTGTATTTACTGAAGTGCATGAGTTTATTTTACTGCTGCTGTTACTTTAGATTTTGTCTCTTCATACACATCTCAATCTCAGTTGTCTCTAAAATAACTATAAATGCATACATTACTTGATTTACTTCACTGTCTTATTCGTTTTGCAGACATACAGTACAAGGTAAACTCATGAAACAATGCTGTTAAAAAAGAAATTAAAGCTGCTCTCTCACTTTAACAGCATGCTTTTCAATTTTGACCTGATTCAGAATGAATTTTAGATACTTTTCTCGAGCTGTAGAGCTGCATAAAATCATTCAACCAACTATAAGTCTGAAAATGTACAGAACTGTGACTGAGACATTTTTGATTAAAAGAAAAAATGTGTTACTTTAAACCTCTGAGAGAAACATCCAAAGTGCATTTTACTGCTAAACATGTGCTTTTGCTCAAGTAGTTAGTTCTTGTTAGAAACATCATATACTTCAGTACACATGCAGACACACAGGACACACTGGTAAGAAAATAAACTTGCTCAAAAGACAACTTATTTCCACTGAGTAGGCTGCAGTTCTTCTTCAGTTGTTAGAATAAAGAATACTATGCAGTATATATCTTATAAGTACGGATGACTACTTCTTCTACTGCTATGTGCGTGTTCTCACCCTCTCCTCGCGGCTCTGCAGAGCTCGACAGATGTGTTGCAGGCTGTACAGCTGCTCCAGCAGTTGCAGGCTTCCCTCCCTCAGTTCGCCTTCCTCCTCTTCCTCTCCACTCCACGCCTCCTGCCGTAGGCTGTTGGCCATCCTACACAGGTTGGCCAGCGACACACGCCAGTAGGGGGCACTCTGCTTATTGTGTTTCATCTGCAAAGAGGGAACAAGGAAGAGAGGTGGTTAGCTGGAAAAAAGGTGAGGTTATATTCTGGTTTTACAGCTTCTGATGTACAGTTTTTTGTGTTTTTAAGTTGTGTTGGGCACTAAATTGAAGAGAAAATGAGCACTGAAAGTGAAGGAGAAACCACAGATCATAAAAACACACAGTTAAACAACCTGATAAGAGCACGGATGATATTTTGATTTTATTGTCTATTTGTAGGATTTTTCTCAACTTTCTGTGCAAAATGTCTTCTCTCCTCAGGATTATTATAGTAAAACTGTGTTTGGTCACTGCTTTGACCATCATATCCAGACAAAAACAGGTTGGACACTCTAATCTAATTGAATCGAATCCCTGCTTTACTTACAATGTGTTTAATATTATTATACTCATCTTTGGTTGTCACCATCATAGAATTTATATTAGGGGGAAAAAAGAAGAACTTGATTAATTAAAGTTTTTACTGTTAGTCATTCCGTCTTCCCTTTTCTGTCTGTACAAATTGTGTTTCACTGAGATAATGAAATCTTAATTGATTTTAGCATTTGTCCATGCATACATTTGGTTTTAAGAGTAGATATATACCACGTTTTCTAACTCAACACTTCAATGTGCTGTTTTACAGTTAAAGCAGTAAAGACTGAGTCAATTCCCTTTAAGAAGCACTGATGATGCTGCTTTTGAGAATTTCACCGTCCACTTTGAGCACTGATGCAGACTGCCATATGTTAAGACAGCAGTTAAGAAATATATGAGCTATTTCTTAACTGTTCTTATAAGCACTAGACACCCAAAGTGATATTTCAGTCACATCTAACCTCATCCAGCTGTCGCCTCTTGTGTTATAATCTAATTTGAGTGCTTGGAGATGGCGAAGGGCCCCGGGGCCTCTGTGTGTGCGTGGGCCGGCGATTTCATACGCCTCGCCGCAAAGACCTCTAGGTGTCACTGAGGATGATTGAGAGATTCAGAGGGTGAGGGGAAATTGTCACCTCTAAGTTACTGTAAATGACCATAAGCCCCCCCAAGCTTCACTTCGTTTATGAGCAGCAGAGGAATACAGCCTCCTCTGATGTTGTTTGAGACAGAAGCCGAACAGGTTGCTCTTGTTTACCAGGCAGGAGACATGTAATAAAAGCTGCAGAAACGTCCAAAGAACAAGACTCCCGAGATCAAACATAAGCTGCTGACATTTGGAAATCAATCATGCATCGAGGACTTCAGGGGGTTTAATTTAGTTTTAAATTAACTGAGCCAAGTGTTGGTAATTGTCCTGTCACGTCATATGAAAGATTCATCTGGATCTTCTACCTGAATGCTGGTTAAATCTATAAGTTGGGTTCTGGACTATTTAACATTTTAGTGTCTCTCCAACAAGCACATGCTTAGTCTCCATCCCAGCATTGCAACCAGATAATGATAGAAATGCAGAGGTCAGTGTCCAACTGGCCAGATGAAGTACAGATAAAGTAATATAATTACATTCAATAGAGAAATAAGACCCACAGGGGAGATGTAGCTCCTGCTCAGTGAGCTTTTGAATTGCCGCTAGGGGATCAATGAAGTTATTGGAATTGAACTGTATCCAATCAGATCAAAAGTGAACAAAGAGATCAGTCAATGTAGTTGTCACCAAAGATTTTAAAAAAAAGATCATGTGTATTGTTCAGCGAGAAAGCCACAAGTATCTTCTCCAATGCTGCGCTTTCCAGCCTTTTGAACACCCTATCAGTCACCCGGCAAGTTATTATTACAATCATCACCCCTGAGCAACCTCCCAGCATCAGCAGCAATGAATCACATGGCTGATTTGTCACTATCAAGTCTCTGCAGGAGCACCACAGTTATTTATCAGAGACAGAGAGAGAGAGAGAGAGGTGGAAGACGTGTCGTTATGATGCTGTCAGGTCCATCTGAATCCTATTAGGCTCGGCCATCCGTCTCTGCGCGCCTCCACTTCCACTTTCACTGGCTTCATCCCTCAGCTTTGTGTGGCCTTGAGCACACAGTGCTAGATGAATGTGATAAAAATTCTAAAAGTTACAACTAAATTACTTCAGCTCCTATTTTCTTCTCGTCTCAGAGGACGTGTGCATCACTGCAGCAAGTGGACTGATGATTATATTAATTTTGTAGGTGTACATGTAGACTGAATAATAAAATGACTGATTTAACCTACAACCAAAATACAGTCAGTCAAAATGCAAGTTACACTGGACAGCCTGAATAGAAAAGCCTCTTAAAGTAAATTATTTATCCGTTATGCAGCATAAAGACAACCAAAAGGTGAGGCTGCCGCTGAAGCGTGGATGTAGATTTCATGAAAGAACACCTGGGCAGCCTGTGTGTGAGGATGGTACTGGGGTCACTGGCTGACTGGGCAAGTTGAAGCCTGCTGGACACTCGGTCTCTGATGTGACAGATGCAAAAAACAAGTGTACCTTAGAAGTGAACAGACTGCTGAGTAGCTCCTCTTCCAGTGCTCGCTGCTCCTGGTTGACATCTGTCAGTTAGAGGAAAAACAGGAGTGAAATTTCAACCAGATCTGATCAGAAGTTACATTCAACCCTCAGTGAAACATCAATGTGACTAAACATTATAGGATGGTCCTTATCAAGTTGTGATGTTTAGACTGTTTGATCTTTTTTATTTTAAAGGAGTTTTACCTGCTTTCAGCGGGTGACACATTAATTAATGTTGTGCTGAAACAAAGCACAAATTATCCAAAAACAATAAATGCACCCAGTGTCCCTCGATAATCGTTTCTCCACAGAGGAGATAGGTACTAATTTTTCTGTCTTTCATAGTTATTGACCCAACATTGATTTTGCAGTCTCCCTAATTTAACTCTAGAGCAGTTCAGTGTAGCCGGTATGAAATAGTAAATGAGTAAAAATGAGTTTACTTCTTTTGGGATTGAATTAAAATTCATGATAAGAAATATACTTTACTCTGCTGTGGCATATGAGTGAAACTCCTTACATGTAAGAATGTGTAAATGCATTGCTTCTAAAGCATAAAAGAGACATCATTATAGTGGGTCAATGAGGAAAAATGGGTGATCACAACTTATAAAAAGAGGAGTTCTGAGTCAATAAGTCACAACTTGTATAGAAAATAATAAAAGTGTCAGAATGATGAAATTTATTGTTTTTACTGGATATAAATAAGTGTATAAGTATATTTTTATTTTGTTTAATCAACTGAGGATTCAACGTTATTAGCCTCCTGAATTCCTACAGTATTTTAAAGAATTGTGGCACAAGAAAGAAAAAAAAAGAAAGAAGTCTGAGGATATTTCAGAACACACAAACCCAAGCTTAGGAAACAATAATGTTAAGAAGAAGTGCAAATTCTTGTTTTCCTGTAATATTTCCATGTATTTCATGATTAATATCCCATGCGCTTTTTTAAATGCTTGCAACAACATCACTACATCATGCACCTGTTGCACACAGTAAGCTACTGGAGAGAGTCAGGGCTACTGTTTTTCTCTCTTTCGTTCCAGTGAATAAAGTCATATAACGCAGAAACTGCTGTGCTTACCTGTACAAAATGCACCACATGTGAAACAGAGGAGAAGCATACACGCCAACTGTGCCTGCATCTTGATGAAGAAAAAAAACAAAACAAAACAAATCAAAGCCAAAATTGTCCAACACTGAAGAATTCACCTGAGGAGGAATCTAGTCCATAAGGTTAAGGGTCAGACAGCTAAAGAGGCTGGAGAGGGAGTTTACAGTGATGCAGCTGATTCCTCTTTTTCTTCTTCTTCTCGTCCAAATCCAAACACACTTTTGCAGTTTCCTGGTTGGATGTGCAGTGCAGTGGGCTCCATTCCCTGAGTATATAAGAGCAAATGTGATGTCATAGAATCCTTCTCTCCCCTCCCCTCCCACCTCCTCTCCTCTTCTTCATCTCCACCTTCCCACCCACTAACACGACCCCCTCCCTCCACCCATCTCTCTCCCTCCTGTCACTGCGTAATCGTTTCATCAGATGTCACTTCAGCATCACGACGCAAAAGGTTCTTGCGTCATGGGTTGGAAGATTTGGTTAGTTACCTTCATGGATGCACACAGTCGGATGTGGGGGGGGGGGTTGCACTTGTCTCTTAGTGATGGAGAGCAGGACTGATGTGGGAGGATGCGCAAATAAGACTCACTCTTCGTGTCACAGTTTGGAAGAACAGCACTTTAAAAAAAAAAAAAATCAATTCAACAGGGTACTGTCTCGGATAGCGCATCAGAAAGTGTCTTCTGAAGGCATGAATCTTAGTGACAAGTGGAATCACATCAGTATGAAACCTTCTCAGTCCCTAAGAAATAATACATCGTCTACTACATCTGGTTGACTTTGTTTTTTGTTCTTTAACTTACCACCGACTGATCCATCTGTTATTAATACATTTGATAAAAGTATCTTTAAAATATGTCTTCCCTGAAAAGCTTACTGACTAACTGGTGTTTTGGAGCTTCTTTTTTTTGTATTTCATCAAAAGTTGTCAAGGAAGTGTCGAACGACTGTTCCCTTTTTTAGGATTTCTCTCCCATGTTGGTTTAAGCTGGCATTCAAAGTTCAGTCTTAGATTTGGAAGTGATGGTTAAGAAAACAATCTCACTACCAGATCCACACACACACACACACACACACAGCTATGTTTGTGTGTGTGGGTGTGTGTGTGTGTGTGTGTGTGTGTGTGTATTGCTCCATCCTGTTTTTGTTTTTCTTTCTTTCTTGTAATTCAAAACAAAGCATTTTTAAGACAACAGATCTGCTCTGTGCATCAAGTGTAAGATTTTTCTCTTGGCTTAAATTCGGACATGAACAATTCTTAATATAGTTCAATTTTAGCTATTGTGGTAGTATAGTGTTGTGGTTTTGGTAAACAAATGTTTACATAAAATAAAATTGCATAGTACTTCACAATGGATCCATTTTAGGTCCTCTCCTTGTACTTGATTTTTTTTAAAAAGATGTCAAGAAAAATGAATTACAAAAATGTTCTGAAGTTATGTTTTGTCTGCAAGGAGTAACCTTTGCCAGAACATAATTTAATAATTTCCACTCCATACTTCATGAATTACTGCATTAGAGATCAAGCAATTATCAACCTGGCTGATTATTGGGTCCAATATTATGCATTCTTTAGGTTATCATTATTGTTATTTTTAAAAACTGATTAACTGGAGAGAAATAAAAGTTAAAATGCACTGATTTGGTTTTGATGCAGCAGCTTCACTCTGTCTGTAGTCACTAGTAGTCCTGAGCAATGTCCTGTTCACAGCACTATCTAACTGGTTACATGCCACCAGCAATAGCCAATCAACACAGAAGGACAAATGTTAAAACTTTTTTGTAATTAAACATTTAAAACATATTATATAAATAAAGTTTTATGTTGGAGATTGCGGTATTTTAGATGTTGACACCAGGACTTCCATTTTTACTACCAATATATATGTATTATTTTGAATAATTCCTGGAAAAAAAACACATCGGTCCACCCCTACAATGCATCGTGGGCTTTGTAAGAGCATGACTAACCGATGGGCCACTGACTTTCAGCATGTAATAATCAGCTCTTATCGTTGTTTCTGTCCGTCTCATCATTAACTGCTTTTCAGAATGCAGAGAGATGAAGAATATCATGTGCACAACATATTACTATACACAAAAAATTCCCTTTGATTTAAATCAGCAAAGTGGTGCTCATATCAGTTCACTGTAAATCAGTCTCAGCTGTCTGTTTATATGTGAAAGACACATTCACTAACAGTAATTGGCTCCCACAGAGAATTGTCTCCTTTTAACATTAAGTAAATAGCCCAGTTGGAACAACTTCAAACCCTATGTGTTCTGCGTGAGATATTTCAAGCTTGAAAAACAGTTGGAGTGAGTCAAAGCAAGCTGCATTCCTCTGATATCTGAATTTCATCTTTGTCATTTGAATCCAGCAGGGAGAGCCAGTTAGCAGACCCCAGGAGGCTGCTTTTGAATGTCTCAGCCTACTGAGCCTGTAAACATATTGCAGCATTAGTTTTTGCTTAGTGGTTGCATTTTTTAGATGTTTGTTGGGGAGCTTAATAAACAGAATCAGTTTACAAACAGAACAGCATGTGTTCAGCCAACTTAAAGTGCGACCAGTGCTCTGTACAGCTTGTTATACATATTGATAGAATATTTATGGCACTTGGAGACCTTTGCTCACTTTCACATCAGCTGTTTATTTCCAAAATGCCTGTGTGTACATTTTTTTCTATTACCTTTTTTTTTATTATTTTTTTATATATATTTTTGACACTTGTTTTAAGTGCCATTAGTTTGTACCTTTCCCATTCAGTCTCTTCCTCGGATTAGTCTCAGGTTGTTCCTGCAGGTGGAAGGGGGCAGAGTTTCACCACTAAATCTCAGTGCAGGAAACACCTCCCTCTACTTTCGGGATGGGACGGGCAGAGTTGCAGTCGGGACACCCCTCAACTTTTTTTTGAAACAGTTTACAAAGTGTCCGGCGTCCTGCCATGCTGGGACTGTAACGCATTTCGGATCCCTGGTCTGTCTTCTTGCGCTCCTGAGTCATGGCTCCGTTTGGGAAAAACTTCCTGAAAGCTCGACTGAAAAACAGGTAATTTGATGAGATGAGCGTGAAGTTCTTTGAAACGTGTCGAGTGGGTTGTTTTTCCTTGAGGTCGAGTGTCGTGCTGCTGAGGACGGAGACGAATTACGCACAAGGCGGTGCGCACTGGGTTTAGGAGTAAGCAGCGCAGGGACAGGGTGGGTTAAGTTGTTAATGCAGTTTTGTGTTGGCTTCCATGTGATGAATATTTTGAGAGGCAAACTGCAGAGCAAATATAATCAGAGCAGACATGTAGTGGGACACAAAATATACACCAGTGTAAGACAAATGCGCCGTTAAATCCCATTAAGGACACATTATAAACGTCCTCGGACTATAAAAGTTTATGTTGACTTTCTTCTCAGGGTTATTAGTGACCATCTAACACATTTAATTTAGTATTATAAATCAATCTCAACAAAGATTAGGGAATCATAAAGCTTGGGTGTTGCCATTTAAGGACTAAGATGTGGAAATAAATTTGATTAAAAGTTAAAGAGTCCATATTGGAGGCACTGTAAGTGTGTTTGAGGAGGGAGGATGTGACCTTTAACAGTAATTTCATACTTGTAGGTATACTTTTGTGACATAATTTGCCATTGAAATATGCCTTTGGATGGCAGTGCTCCACTGTACTGCACACGGGCCTATTTACCTCTGACCTTCTGCTGCTCTGTAATTACTACAAAGATGTTACTTTTTAATATAATTTCATCCAGGACAAAGAAGTCATAGAACATTCTTACTTTAGGATGAGAGAGATCCTGACATCAACACTGGCATAATTGTCTTTAGCAATTTCCCTAAGTGCCCTAGCTTGGCCTTTTGATGTGCGTCTGGCAGCAGCTGGAGTCTCCTCACAGCTTTGAAAAAAAAAAGGTGGGAAAATTAGATTTACTGAGCTGCAAGCTATCCACTGTTGCTGGTGCAGAAATGCTGTTTGGATTGCTGACTGCTGACTTTGTTTACCAACTCTGCACAACAAGGGTTTCTCTTTCAGAGTATCTAGGTCACGATCCAATCCCTTGCAGGATTCTTTATGGCAAGACCAGGATCAAGAAAGCAGAAACATTTTCATTAGCTTCACTCATTAAGGCTCTCATTTACCACCAAACCCAATGAGGGAGGTTTGGATTGTGTTCAGAAATAAAACAGGCTTTTATGGAAAATTATAGTCAAAACTCTTTGACAGTGGCACCAGCAGCAGAATGGATGTATTTTCACATCACACAGACCCGAGAAGAATTATCTTTGATAACTTCAAACAGTCTGACTGAACTTTTCTCCAGTGATGTCTTATTTTTGTATGTGTTGCGTATGTAATTACTATTGTGGCACCTATAATTATCTTAAGTGTTTAGATCTCTAGATATGTCAAACGCTTGATTTCAGAGACGGGCTCTTAACTTGCGCTGAAACACTGAACTGGAGGTTTGCCAAAAAATGACTGGAGGTGCAGCTTCAGTCGGTTGAAACATAAAAACTTTCACAAAGAATAAAAATTAAATGTGGTGATGATTACACCTGACAATATGTGACAGAATACTCTGCCAACAGAGCCGAAGTGCGTCATCAGGGAGTTCTGTACATTAAAGTGGCATCCTGTAGTGAAACAGCAGATACCAGCTTCACAGGGTTTAAAATTAAATGGTTGTCAGCCAGTGACACGTGACCGAAGTGATGTGGTGATTTCTTGCACTTAGCGACAATTGCAGTGTTACAGGATTGTACCAATTAACCGAGAAAAACGCTTGGTTAATACAAATCAGCAGATTGCAGAAAAGCATTAAAAATAATGTGTTGAAAGAGACAAAAGGATTCATTTATTTTCAGTGCGCAAAAGCTTATTTGGTGATTCACAGACCTGCTGGGGAGAAAAAATAATAAGGGTGGGTGGTTCCACAGAGGAAAGGAAGAGAGGGGAAGGGGTGTGTTGTGTCTCTCCACACAGATGCCTATCAGAGCGGGAGTCATCCCAGAGATCAACATATCCAGATAGCAAAGTGATGTTATTTCCTCGACAATCCCTCATCCTCTCTCAGATAAGAACGAGAGGAAGCATCTCCTATCCAACGTTGCGTAGTTTCTCTCCTGCATTCTTGTTGTGATCCTGTCTTCCATTGTACAAACCAGATTGAACCACACTTTTTTGATATTTTCCACATCTTATGTATTAGTGTTATGGGAGGTAAACAATTCAGTTTAGGTCATTTTTGTGTTTTATCTTTATTGGTTGACTTCCAAGGTTTCATGCACTCCTTGAAAGATACCAGAGATTAAACCATTTCCTTATAATTGGATAAACTCAGATCTGTATGGTGGTCTGTCTGAAAACAGCAGCTTTGATTGGGTCAGGAAATGCCAACGCAAGCTTTTCATCGTGCTTATTTAATGGTCGGATGTTATTAACATTTACTGTATGGAGAACAATGCAAAGGTCACATGTCTGTAACGCGGTGCGTCATGTCCCACAACAGACACTCAGATTCCTTCATGATTTTGAAGGCACAGTTTGTCCATTTTACAACAGAACAATGTTCTCACATTGTCATACATGGATTTTATAAGGACTTTCATGGAGAGACATGTTGCTGTTAAGTTTTTAGTTGTGATAACAGCGTGACTCTATGGCATGGATGGCAACCAGAAGACCCAACAAGTGAAAGATATCTTAACAGGACTTGGATTGCTTGACAGGAAATTTAATACAGATATTCATGAAGGAACATTTCTGACTTGGATGATCCCCTGACATTTCCTCTGGTGCCACCAACAGATTGACATTTGTGGTTTTAGCGCAAAATGTCAAAACAACAAAATTTGGATTTTAATATTGATAATGCTATTATTTTTTGTAAATATAATTTATAGTAGATAAATTCTAAAAATGCTGTACTATTTTTGCTAAAATGGGGTGAAATACTGTGAAATCTGGTGCTTTTTTTGGAAGCACTGTTTAGACTAGTGACCTAATTTGGGCAGTTAAGAATATTGTTACTACTTTACACTGATGCCCTGAGAGGTCATTTATTTATTTATTTTACATTAAGTGAAATACTCTTTCCTTGTTTTTTTGTTTTTTTTAAACATATTTAATAGACAATTTGTCAGACATGCATTTGAATTGCATTTGAATAAATGTTCCAAGATCATTAACATGTAGCTTGCCTTATCCTTTACCCTGTATTGTTTCGTGTGTTTTAGTGTTATATGCGTTTACAAATGTTAGAAAAAGTTGGTAGGTCTTAGTATCTACCAACTTTGGTATTTGTCTGTAATTTAAAGAAGTGTTTATACATTTGAAAAGATTTCTTTTTGATTGTTACAGTTATTGTAGATTGCAGTGGCAACGGTATATAAATACAGTATATTATGAAAAAGTATGAGTATTAAACAGAAAATCCCATATTCTGCTATAGAGTACTGTAATAAGTCATACAGTTATTCACTTTTTAACCAAATTACAATAATAACACTGTAGAATATACACTTTTACACAGTTCTTACCACCACACCACTGCCAGATGTCTTCATAATTTTACAGGAAAGTTTGTTACAGTGTTCCATTAATTGTCATTAGCACCATCATCAGGCTAAACTACCTGCAAAATGTTGATATTAACAACATTCTCATACTTTTAGCATCAAAAACCTACATTTGAACAAGACTATGAGATTCAGAAACAAAATCATATTGTGTTCCACTGTACTGAGGTGGCAGCAGAAACCACAGAGACTGATACATAAACATATCTGAGTGAATCAACTTTTTAACAGAGTTTCAATCAGGAGCATTTTGACCTTAACATCAACACGTCTTGCTTCACTTTTAGTCTGTGATTTCAGCACTGTTTGTTTTGGCGTTGTAGCCTATAATTTTGTCACCATCACCAGACTGATCCGAACGTAATCGAAATTTTCATTCCATTGCAAGAAGGTGGGAACCTGTTGACAGCAGTGGCTACAGGATATATTTACCAAGATGCTATTAAAGCTTTGTTCCTGAAGGAAATATCTGCATTACCTTATCTTATCATTATTGATCTGAGGGAACATGTTGAGACAATGGAGCACCATAGTTCTGTCATTTGCCACGACTTGTTCAAACCACCAGCATGTGGTCCTATACGGTAACTTGTAGGCTGTAAATTTATCACACAATGGGGAATTGTTAATGTCGGAAAGTTGTCATTATGAGCATTACAAGTGACGAGAGCTGTGCCACCGTGGTGGAGCTGTAGCGTAATCGTCCCACGCACAAACTTGCACTGAAATTCCTGTAATTTAAATGTGGTTTCCTCCCACATGTGTGATGTTGCAGTCAGGATCTCAGCCTTTCAGTTCAATTTGAGGTCAAGTGGGTCTGCTCAGGTTTCTTGGGTTCGCTCAAGTGTAAATGATTGAGGTCGAACCGTACCTGTGTCATTCACTCATTCACAGTATCCACGCCGTGACAGGAACTTCACAGTTTGGTTGTTCTTTTTATTTATTATCATACATCTTAGTTCCACTTCCACAGAATGTTTGAGTTCAATACACTATCAGTATCAGGTTTTTCATGTATTGCACAGAGCTGTGACCTATGAGGGCACCCTCATTTGTTGCGTCTGGAACCGCAGCTTAATCTCAAACTATGAATATCAAATGGCATCAAGTGACAGCCCTTATGAAAGTGTTAGCAGCGATGCAATCGGGCCAGCAGAGCGTGCAGTACTTGTATATGTCATGGCAAGGGACATTAGGTGTTTGGCACTACCAGTCTTGTCAACATGTTTCCTCATGTAACATTTTTTCAAAATAACATTTGTAAAGTTCCAGTAATACAGCTTCATAGAATTAAGCAATTTTGCCCGACAGCAGGTGAAAATGGGGGTATTTTGTTTGCTATGCACAGAAAATCTGATGTGAATTTAATGGAATCATAGTTTCTTTTTTAAAATCCAAACCCATAGAATGTATTTCGAGAATTTCACATTTTAGTTGGTCTCGCTGTCATGTTTATGACTGATTGTTCCACTAAAGGTGTGTTGAATTTCAGATCATTTCCAGTCCGTCAGCTGTTGTTGCTCCTGTTTGCTCTTCTTGCAGGTATAGCAGAGATTCTAACCTCAAAAAAACAGAGATCTGTCGGTGAAGTCAGAGGTGCACAATAAAAAATGCTACTGCAGCGAGTGGAAACACCACAAACATATATTTGTTAACACATTCTTCACATTTGAGTGGAGCTGAAAGCAGTGACCGATATGAAATCTATTTTTCCCCTTCCTCTCTCTGTCCATTGAACTGTGGCGGCAGGATGTTGCCTGAGTGTTGCCGATTGTGGCCCAGGACAAATACAGGTGTTTCCTTGCCTCGCTGTACCCTTTTCCTGCACAGCTGAGAGTTTGGGTCACTCTCTCTGAAATACCCAATTTCTATAGCACGTGTTTATTTACCTGTAGAAATCACCACAGGAACATGTTTCTTATATTATTAGGTTGTAGGAAATATTTGCCCTCCAGTGTATTGAGATATGACTGGTACAGTGATGCTGTACTGATCATGTTCTTCATTTTATCTTCTTTCCCCATACTGTCCTCTCTTCTCTCCAAATAATTTTTGTCTAATAAATTCTTGTTCTTTCCATCCATGAGTTTTGAGCCAAACAATTCATCGACATATTGTTGAAACAGCAATATGGTCGCGTGCAATGTCCACATCATCGAGCTGCAGTTTGTAATAAGGGTAAAATGTGCCACATCATGCCACTTTAAATGATGAATTGTAGTGCTATCATGACCAAGCCTGTGCATCATATTCTCCAGATGTGAAGGAACATTATTATTTGGCACAGAATGCAGCATAAAATCAGAAATGCAGAAGCTACAGCTAAACTACTACTCACATTGCAATATCTGTCAAAATAATCTCAATGTGATTTTGTTTTTTTGCATATGCCTTATTTGCTATGCAGTACAACAGTGATCCACTGTTGGTAGAAGTTTTCAGATCCTTTATTGTGTATGAGAAAGCAGCCTTTAAATGTCGCATATCATTCAAGGTGGTGCTAAATTGAACAACCTAATATATTATTAAGATTAATGTATAAAGATTCATCATCATTCATAGGATGGATATTTTTTGTGAAAAAAAACAACCTCTAGCTAATAACTAGAGCAGTTAAATATGGACTAAAAATGAAAATATTGCAAATAATATAGTATACCATGATACACAGGAAAAACTGTATTTGAAAACAAAAAATGCACTTAAATACCTTTGTAATACACTACAATTGCCCAAAACATCAGCTCTTTACAAATATTGGCATCCATAAGCAGCGCAAACACATAAAGTGTTGCAGAGCTGTGTCGGTCAGATTGCGTTATGTTGTACAGGTGTGGTCAGTGAATCCACCCGTTGTTTTCTGTCTTGTGTTGCAGTAGCATTTGTGGGGTGTAGTAGTAGTAGTAGTAGGTGGAAACGCTGAGGTCAAAGTCGTCATGGTCGCTGTGCATAAAAGCCAGAGGCATGCTGGATTTGTTTGGCCTACGCATAGCTCAGGTATTTGCTTTGCCCCGCTCTTCTCCAAGGATCTCAATAACCATTAACCATCCTCTTGCATTGTATGTATCACATTCCTGAGACCTTATTCATCAGCAGTTTACACAATGCTTCAGTTGTGTGTTTTCATACTGTGTGGGAACAAAAAAACCCAGTGGTATCAGTCTGTAAAATCTGCAAAGCAGCATTTAAGATCTCTCTTTTACATAATATTTAATGTCTTAGTTATCTGTGTTGGCATGCAGGCAGAAGGTGTCTGTATCATCTTTTAAGCATGAGTGTTTTTGTCCTCCCTCCCTCCCTCCCTCCCTCCCTTGGGACAATCAGTGGTTAAGATGAGCTGCCACCAGCCAAGGTTTTCCAACAGATAGTACGTGCATGATGCAAAGTTCAGATGTGAAATCATTCTTGCATATCAGGCTGAGGAACAACATGAAACATGTGTTATCCAGGCTGAACACCTTTTGTGTTTGATTTTAGTCACATTCATTCTTTTGTAAATATAGATAAGGTTTTTGGAAATGTATTTTATTCAGCTTTATATGTGTTTAAGCTGAAAAGCAAACTAACAAAATGCTTTGAGGTGAATTCCACTACAATCACACCAGCGATACGCTGTTGGCATCATGGTCTCAGTCCATCAACATCATGACATCAACAAGTCCCCTGATGTGTTACAACTAAACTCCCTCAGTGATATTATCTGGCTTTGTTGTGTAATTCGTATGGACTTATTTTAGATAAAACTTGATGTTATTCAGGACTACAAGTGCATTGCTCTGATTTATTACTGTTAACAGATTTATGAAGTATGCCTGTTGGGTTTCCAAACCACAGACCAACATTCCTTCAACCCACAAAATCAGTCTGCAGTTCAGTGTTAGAGGAGGAGCTCCACTTTTTTGTCTCTTGTGGATATTATATGGATAATCTTTCTCTGGTTCCTTTGAGATTGAACTGTCTGTAATTACAGGAGTATTATATGTCACTTATTCTTGGTTTCAGAGTAGGTTTTATCTTTAAATATGAATAATCCACTGAGACAGAAACCTGGCAGTGAGCTACAGCACATCAAACTGAACCCAATTAATCACACGGATTGCTGAATATTCCTGACATGCTATCTGTCATATAAATAATAACACGATACATCTTTTTTTTAATCTTAAAATCAAATTGCAATCTCTGGCAATGTTATCGACTTATTTGATTACTGGTGGCTGTCTGCATTGCTGGTGCCTATCATTTAATGACTGGATATTAGGTCCTGGATATTACCGGTGGTCCATTAAGCTTGTAAAAAATGAATATCGTCAGCCCATCAGAGGTCAATTTTTGAACAAGTTTCACGGTCCAGACGAAAAGGTAATGAGGGCCTTGGGGTTAAATAGCTCAGAACCAAACCATTAAGTGATCATCTCTGATGAGTAAGACGATGAGCAACAGTCTAATAGAATCAAGCAGGGGAGCACAAAATGAGCGAATGTAGTTTTCTGCTCATTGACCTAATGGAAAACCAGCGAAGTCACATGTTCTCACAAAACATACTAGGAATAGTGAAAGGACTTCAAAAGCATAAGAGAAAGGACAGACCACTTCAGATGTCAGACTACAGCTCTAACTGTTGTTGTAAGGAAGCATGTCGAGCATTTCAGCTTCACTTTTTGGAAATATTCATTACAAACACATTTTGAAGCTATTGAACCATGTACATGTAATCTTATCGGTTCTGGTTCTGCTGGGATCCTTTTTACAGGCCATCCCTCCTCAGTGTCTCCTCATTTCCTACAACCTTTCTACAGTCAGCTTCTGAAATAAAGACACATGTGACTATGTGAATGTGAGCCTGCCTACAATGATGATGCCAACATGCTGATATTTAGCTACTATGTTTAGCAGGTGCAGTTAGCTTATTTACCATTGCATTTGACCACATTAGCATGATCATTTGCTAATTACTTATAAATAGAAATATTTTTACAGCCATGTGGTCATAAATCTAAATATTGGACAATTTGGACCTGATAATGGTGCCACATGAAAAATCAAAGCATTACAAAGTTTCTACAATTTTTCCAAATGAGAAAAAAAATCCACTTGCAGTTCATCAAGCAGTCTTTCGTTCAAACCCACAAACCTCGACCTCATGGTGGTGACTGGTGGAGTCAGGCGATCACTAATGTGAGTAGGTTGTATCATCTGGGAATCTCAGGGGTCTGCACAAGTGTTTTTGCTATCCAACCAGTGATGGTTAGATGCATTAGTCTGGACTAAAGTGGTGACCAGCCGACCAACACTATTATCCCATCGTCCCTGTCGCTAACTTGGCAAAAATTTCCTGATATTTTATTTTTGTTTTTTTAATAATTGTTTAAAAGTAAGTGTAATTGTTAACAGTGGATATTTGTCTTTTCATCACTTTTCTAATTAATAATCACAATGGGCCTATCATTACAAACACGTTTTGTGCTGCTTGACTTTTCTTAAATATCCTGAATTTTATTGAATTCTATAAAAGTCCACAAAGTTTTCAAACAGTAAACATGCAAATCTGAACTTGAGGGAAATGTAACAAAAGCTATTTTACCAACATGGAGATAGTGTGCATTTAATGGATTGATGAAGGCAAAAAGGCCATGAAGTCTCATATTTGAATGTTTCACTCAGTGTGAATATTGTAAAACATTAGATGACAAAGAAGATTGCTGTCAGATAGAATGGTATAAAGGGATTTTAACAATTGTGAGGGAGAACTAGCTGTTAAAGGGTTTAAGTCTTCCAAATGTGTCATTCCATCACCACAACTGTAACCTTTGTTTTTTTATCTCTCACCTAGGACAAAAGATGCAGAGCCTGTGGTAGGAAAGGAGATTCAAGTTACTGTCTGCAATGAAGAAAAGGTTGTGTGTGGAGTTACAAAGCACACAACTTGTGCAGATATGATTCAGGCATTGCTGGAGGATCACAAGTCAGTCCCAGAGAGCAAGCAGCTCCTACACGGGGAACCCAAAGACTTCTGTCTCGTCGAGCGGTGGAAAGGCTTTGAGAGGGCTTTGCCTCCTCTCACCAGAATCCTGAGACTCTGGTATGCTTGGGGTGACCAGAGACCCTTCATCCAGTTTATTCTAGTCAAAACCAGTGACTTTGTGCCTCAGCCTGCTAAGAAGGTTGTAAAGCCCAAAGGGGCCAAGCCAAAGCGATGGGAGCACGGTCGCCCTCAGTATCCCCAGTCTCTGCCGGTGGAGAAGCAAAAACGTATGGTAAAGAAAGCTTTCCGGAAGCTGGAGAAACTTCACAAAGAGAGCAGAAGCTCGCCGGGAGCTGACGAGATTGACCGGATGGTGCAGCTTATCCTCAACCAGGACCACACAATCAGGGAGCAGATCCAGCGGATGAGGGACCTGGATTTGGAGATTGAGCAGTTGGATTTGCACGTGCCAGGGGAAGCTGAGTCTGAGAGTTCACTGGATCAGGCCTGTGGTCTGAATTTGGAGGCGCACAGTGAAGAGCAGCTGCATGAGTACTTGTACACCAGTGATGGGGTGGAACAGCTGGAGGTGCAAGTTCAGAGGCACCAGGAGCTCATCCTCCAGCTGTCCAGGGATATTGACGCTGAGCTGAGGAGGGCCAGCTTCTCTCCGTTCCAAGAGGAGGGCGGTGAGCAGGAAGGAGCGGCGGCTGCTCCCTGGATCCCCTCTGACACAGACGAATCTTTCTACATTGCTGAACTCGGCAGACTGCAGGACGAACTGAAACACAGCCTCTTTGCCGGCGTGTCTCTTCACAACCAAGCTGCAGAAATAGACAAGCAGCTGAAGCACTTTGACAGTACGCTGGTTTCCAAAGACCAGGAGTGCTGGCAGCTGGCTGCCCAGCTGAACTCACTGCAAATCGGGGACAGTATAGAGGAGAAGAAGCCCATACCTGCACCTCTGAAATGTGAGACTCAGTGCAGCGTCTCCCAGACAGTGAAACTCAAACACAGTCTGTCCCCTCTAGACGTTACAGACACAGACTCAGACACTGGGATTAGCTCCACACACAGTCAGGACTCTCTGTCACCATGTCTTGACTTCCCTCCCCCGCTGGACACAGATGTTTGAGGAACCAGTCTGACCCTGCAATTTAATGTTCTATAGGCACCAGCAGTTTGTGCCTCTCATATGTTGCCATTATGTTTTAATCATAGAGCAGTCTGAAAGACAACAGGCATTGTAAAATAACTTGGACTATAAATGCTGGTGCTATGCAGCTCTGTTTCATGATATTTACTTACAACTACACAAGCAAACATTACATTCAATGAAACACAATAGGTCAGTTACCTAGAAATATAACGGTGTTGATTGAAATGAAAATTACTAGCAACTTTTTAAATAATCAATCAGCTGTTTAGGCTTTTTTTTTAATGCCAAACCTTCTTTGGTTTTAGCTTCACTACTTTTTCATCATAGTGGGTAAAAACAGGCAACTTCAGAATGTCACCTCGAGTTCTGATAAATTAAAATGAGTATTTTTGATTGTTACAACGTGTTGTTAAATTTTTTTTTATTTTTTTTAAAGACTTTGTTCTTGCAAAGATGGTAGCTAGAGCTAAAATATCTCTTTGCTTATTTGGAATTATTTTTTCAATATATTTATTTTTTGAGTGTTTTTCTTGATGTGATGTGTCATTTTTAGATAAGACAATGAGTCACATCTTAAAGAAGAGGTTTAAAATAATTAGCTGTTTGTTTGTTTGTTTGTTTTTTCAATCTAATGGACAGAAGATTTTTTTGGATGAAACACCATCAACATCCATGTCCACAGTTGTTAAATTATCATCTGAGTTTTTGAGATTCTTAGGCTTGATTGTAAAATGAAACAGTACATGCAGGACAAAAACGGGAGCTATGTACGCACAAACTGCAATCGGCCAGTTTTCTCTTTTTTAAGTGTAAACATTTTATGTCAATAAAGTTGTAAAGACTATTCCCTGTGCTGCACCAGGTTTAGGACCTTTAAAAAAAAAAAAAAAGTCTTACGTGTCTATAACAGTCTCATTAGATAGAGGTGAATGTATGTTTTCTGGCCTGCCTCAAGTTCTTAAGCTATTTATTAAGCTGCACTTGTTTGTACAGTCATCAGTCTATTAACAATGTTTTATATTAAAACAAATAGCTAAATGTTTGGATGTAGAATTTGTTTAAAAAAACTATTTGAAACATTCCTCCTGACTATGCTGTAAATACATTCGCTGTTTAAATATTGTAAATAATTCTTATGACACAAGCACAATTTTTAAAGATCATTTGATTTTTAAGAAAATAAGAAAAGCTATTTATCATGCAATTTTATTTAACAGATGGGATTAAAATATCACACATCTGCCACCACATTTGCTACCTAAAATAAATCACAATACCTGTACTTTGTGTGTGTTAACCTCTTAAAACACAAGCTATAATTAAATAAAATGTGCATTTTAAATTTCATAATAAAGACTAATGCTGTAAATGCTTAAAAAAAAAAAACACTGTCGGTGAGTGTGGCTTTTCTTGCACATGTTTACGCTGAAACTACAAGGAAACAAACAGCTCAGTGTGTCAAACATTTTACAGATTCCCCCAAAGCGCTGAGTCACCACAGAGAAATGACATAGCTTCCTCAGAGCCCCCTTCCAGTCACTGCACCATATAATCAGACAAGATGGTCGCCAGGCAAGCACAAACAACAGCAAGCACTCTCCTCATGTCAAGGTACTGCTGACAGACTAACACTTTGTACTCGGGGCAGAGCGGGGCTGGCTGGGTGGAAAAGCAGAGGATATCTATTTCACACACTAATTGCTTCAACCCCCCTATCCCTCCTCTTTCACTGCTTCAAGCTACTAAGTAACCAAGCATGAAAGGCCAGAGAGCTTACAATGTGAACAATCTCACACCGGTGCCCCACACCTGTTGATGGAACGAGGGTTTATTAGAGTGCCACTATGTATGTTCTGTCTCAACAGCGAGCAAGTTGGGGGGGAAAATAAGGCATTTTGTGGAACCTATATTGTAATGCAAATCAGACTTGTGCTGAGCTGGTGAAAGGAATGGTGAATAACTGAATTTGTTATTCAGCCAGAAGCCAAGTGGCGGTAGAGGAGGCTGTCACTCGGATCTGAAGTTTTACAGTCATTTGTTAATGAAAAAACAGAGACCATCTAAGGGCTTCTGGGGTGCAAGAAGAGAAATTTTACAGGATTTTTAAAGTTGGATGCCTATTTTTTGTGCCCTTATTTTAGCAATGTATTTATGAAACATTAAGGCACTCTTATTTCTCTATCTGCTATCTTTACCACACCATCCATACTCTCATTCCAACCAGTCATGGCAGATGGCCACCTTTCCTGAGCCTGGTTCTGTCAGAGGTTTTTTTATTCCCATCCCACTGGAGGGTTTTTTGGTTCCTTCCCACCATTGCCAACTGCTTGCTCAAAGGGAGTCCAAAGGCAACTTTGGATAGTTGGGTTCTCTGTTTAAAGTGTGTAAGGTCTTCACCTTACTATGTTAAGCGCTGTGAGATGACATATGTTGTGAGCTGTGCTTCATAAATAAAATTGAACTGAATTTGCCTTAAGTCTGCTGGGATAGGCTCTCCCAATACTTTGCTTTAGTCTTCAGTTGTATTGCCTGATAATAAAGTCTACAATACAATAACTTTTGCATTCCCTCTGATCCATAGAGAAGGGCTGACATGCTTTATGATGTACTTGACCATCACTGGTTTTTGGCACAGCAAGAGTCAGTGCACCCTCGGCAGCAATCACTGCAGTGACATAGACGAGGAGCGAGTTTAGCCCTAGTGCACTGACTGCTGTCAAGGCTGATTGAGACTGACTGGGGCTGTGATTGCGATCAAGGGATGATGCTGTTGCTGTGATTGGGACTGGACCCATGGCTGTGCTTTGATTTGTATTATTATGGCTGTGAGACATACAGTTTGTAATGAGTGTAACACTAACTACATGCAGGGTGTGCAGTGAACAGTCATGGTTGAGCTGACTGAGCATGGTACTGAAGCTACTGTGTTCTTTAGCTGTTTAAGGTGTACTGGTGGCACATGTGTCATATCTGATGAGCTGAACCTGTGTGGTTGACAATATATTCCTACAATCTAATGCTGACAAGACCAATAAAGACTACTCACAGTCGCACAGCTAAATCCATAGATTCAATCGCAAATGAGCAATAATCCACAGCTTCACACAGAACAGCTGCAGCTGCGCTCACAGCCAGTGACTGTACACTGTCATAGCTCGACTGTTTGAAAGGAGGAATGAGCAATAAATTAATTATGTAAAATGACACAGCCTCCATTATTTCTTAATATCTGCAGAGTGCTTCCCCTAAACTTCCTTCTCTGAAGGACTGGGCCAATATATTAACCTATCCTACAGATCAGGCGGAATGACAGAAAAACAAATGCACAGGAACTTAAATAGTAGATGAGAAAAAAACATTCCCACTGTGATCCTTCAGGGCAGAAAAAGGCACACACTCAGTTCACCTCATTATTTTATTTTCTGACATGTTGAGACACCTGCCATTCTCAAATGGCAGTAAATAATGAAATGAACTGGTTTTGACTCTGTTTTTTTATGGGTGTTAAGGACCTCCCTGTGCTTTTTCTCATACTAGATGCTTTTAATGTAGCTGAGGCACCAAAAGAAGTAACAAAGCAGAGGGTGTATATTTTCAATCCTTGGCAGATTGTAAAAGCCTCGGAAGCAGTACTTAAGCTTCGGCGGGACAGTGAAACTCTCCACTATTCAACCTTTCACAGTCTTGGGAATATTTGACTTTGTTTAAAATACTTCTCCAAATCCGTATTTTATACTTAAACAGTAATGAAATCACTATGTTCTGAGCTCTTACAGCAAAAACACAGGAGAAACAGTTTTCTTCTGTGCTACAGAGTGACTTTTCTTCCTATTTTAAGCAAGGCTATATGCTCAGGTAATGTTTACCTCCTCCCTCTACTGCAGATCAGCAATCCAAAACTTGCCAGCTCCCAAGAGTGTTTGCTGACAACAATAATTACATCTACCAAAATGACAATTAGCTTGACTGCAAACCTGTCTTTGCTCAGCCCACCAAATTACGACAACTGGCCAGTGAACCATATTCTGTCCTCAGCTGTGATTCCAAAGCTGAAGATGGAAGGCAACATTTTTAACAGCATATAGCACGGCCTTCCCCAAAAAAGTTTCTTAAATTACATTTAATGTGTGTTCTATATGAACTTATATATGGGACACCTTTGGCTTATCATGAAAGAGGCTGAACAAAAAGTCTGTTTAAGGTATAGTGTGTTTTC